CATAAACAAAACGAGCTCAGCACAGAAAATTATAGGCAACAAAGAAATCAACACCATGAAAAAGCACATAAAAAATGACAGCAACAAATTCATATTTGCTGATAATTACATATCTGGCAAAGGACTTATCTCTAAGATTTATAGAAAACTCCAATGCCTCAACACCAAAGGAATTAACAATCCAATTGAAAAATGGGCAGAAGACCACTTCTGACACTTCACCAAGAAGCATATTCATGTGGCCAGCTAATACATGAGGAGATGCTCACAATCATTGGCCGTCAGAGAGATGCAAATCAAAACAATGAGATACCATCTCACCCCGGCACTGATGGCAAGGTTCAACGAGACAGAAAATAACAAATGCTGGTGGGGATGTGGAGAGATTGGGACTCCCATACACTGCTGGTGGGACTGTGAAGTGATACAACCACTGTGGAAAGCAGTGTGGCTGGAATTAGAGATACCATTTGACCCAGCAATCCCATTACTAGGTATATATCCTAAAGAAGTGAGAGCCAGGACAAGAACAGATATATGCACACCCATGTTCATTGCAGCACTATTTACAACAGCCAAAAGATGGAAACAACCTATGTGCCCATCAACAGAAGAATGGATAACCAAACTGTGGTACATACACACAATGGAATACTATGCAACACTAAAGAATAATAGAGAATCTGCAAAACATTGCATAACGTGGATGAACTTGGGGAACATTACACTGAGTGAAATTAGTCAATCACAGAAGGACAAATATAGTATTAGTTCATTATTGTAAAAAGTCTAGGAAAGGTTTATATATGCAAGGAAACTTTCTTTGTTGGTTACCAGGGGCGGGAGGAGAGGGGAGAGAACACTGAGAAATAATGCATTGACCCATGTCACTTTAGTTTTGTGTATTTCACAGTACATAAATTGTATTTCAATAAAATGTATTTTTTAAAAAAAAAAAGACACCCTTGTCAAACACACTGAAGTACCCAGAGATGGCCCTTCTTCTCATTTCTAACGTATCTCCAGAATAATATGCAAGTCCGTTTCAACTTTAGTCAGAAGATAACATGCAAATCAATTTATACTCAGAGGTACAAAGCCATGTAAACGAACAAACCCCTGAAATGCAAGCTCTGAAGGAGTTCCCTACACCTGTTGTCCATTCTACCTCCTCACTGTAACTACCCTCTGAAAGACAACCAGGTTATGCGTCCCTGCAGATACAATGATCTGACACAGTCTCTTCTTACAAGGCTGTTACAGTCAGGTTAGGCTTATACAGGCCTACCTTACTTTATTGTACTTTGAAGATGTTGAGCTTTTTACAAATGGAAGGTTTGTGGCAACCCTGCCCTGAATGAGGCTATCAGCACCATTTTCCCAACAGCATGTGTTCACTTCATGTCTCTGTGTTACATTTTGGTGCTTCTCACAATATTTCAAACTTTTTCATCATGCTATTGCACACCTCATAGACTACAGAATACTGTCAACTTTTATATGCACTGGGAAACCAAAGAATTCATGTGACTCACTTTATTGTGATATTCACTTTATTGTGCTGGTCTGGAACTGAACCCACAGTATCTCTGAGACATGCCTTTGTGTATATATAGTAATGCTGGTTGTGTGATGGTGAAGCACTAGGCTGGTTCCTGAAGGGTAACTGTGTTGAGCCCACCAGCAGCCCCGCAGGAGAAAGACCTAGTGATTTGCACCCATAAAGGTTACAGCCTAGAAAACCATATGGGCCAGTTCTACTCTGTCATCGCTGAGTCTGAATTGACTTGATGGCACACAACACCAGCAACAACTCCAGGAAACTTGCCTATCACTGCTCCCTCCCTATCCACCCCTGCCTCCTCAGGCTCCCTCTGGTTGCTGTTGTTTGCTGCCAGGTTGGCCCCCGACTCATAGTGACCCCAAGTGTTACAGGGTAAAGCTGCCCTATAGGGGTTTCTTGCCTGTAATCTTTACAGAAGCATTGCCAGGTCTTTCTACCGTGGAGCTGCTGGGTGTGTTCAAACTGTTAGCTTTTTGGTTAGCAGCCAAGCGCAAACTGCTCATGCCACCAGGCTCCTTGTGGGCCCTTTACTAGTGTATCAGTGTTGCCTTACAATTTTGCAATCTTGTGCAGTGTCTAAAGCAATGTACATTTATTCATCTTCTTCCTCTTTTCCCATCTTAGCATTTGGTACACTGCATAGTACGCTGAGGACATCTGCTTCTCCCTCTTTCCAGGGGCCTTTTGAGAGCAAGGACCTGTCTTATTCATCTGAGCTTCCTAGGCCCAGTCATGGGCACATAGTAGATGCTCAGTAAAAACATGCTAACAAGAAAGGGCAGTTTTGAGATATGGTTTATTGCATCATCTTTCCTTGACTCTGAGCAAGAAAATGAGAGAGGCAGATCTACTGATGTACACATCTCATTGGCTTGAAAAGTTTCACATGAAGTACCCAAACTTGTAAGCCTGCCAACTAAGAATTCATTCCATGCAAGTGTTTTTGGTTCTTTTCCATCGAATCCGGCCATTCGTGCCAAAGTACTCACCAGTCTGTCCAAACTCGTACCAGCCGCTGTAGTCGGGCGCTCCTCAGGATGGTATGGTCGGAAACGGGCACTGAAGGCACCTTCTGAGATGGACCGAGAAATCCGGCCTGCTGGGAGGGGCTTGGGGGGCCCGCATCCCTGGAAAACCTGCAGTGGGTTGAGCAAGTGGGGTCTTACGAAGGAGAACCAAAAAACCAAACTCATTGCCACTGAGTTGATTCCAACTCATAGCAACCCCCACTGGGTTTCTGAGGCGGTACATCTTTACAGAAGTAAACTGCCCAGTCTTCCTTCCGTGGAGTGGCTGGTGGGTTTGAACCATCAGCCTTCTGGTTAGCAGTCAAATGCTTTAGGCTCTGTACCACCAGAGCTCCTTCATATTAAGGAGATCAGGGCACGAGCAGGACGATGTCTGCCACTCTCCCATCCAATCTCCCATCCTCATTACCTTCTGAGACACCTGCACACTGTTTTCCTGCATGTTCATGATCGCATCCGAAATCTTCACATCAATGGGATCCATGACTGACTCAATGTTGAAAGGACCCTCCAGTCTCTCCGCCACCATCAGCATAGCATCTAACATGAGGTTCGGGGAAAAATAAGAAGGCATAAAAAGGAAATCATCAGCTTGGACGTGGGTAATCAGTCTGATGAGTCTACTGGCTTTGTTTCCTATGGGGGTGGCAGGCGTCATAACTAATTCATGTTTTTATATCTATTTCCATCACACCAAACTGCATTTAGTCACGATGTATCCCTCTCTAAAGCGTGAAGCAGCCAGATGACTGCTTTGTTCTACAGCAAGGAAATCCAATCAAGAATCTTCCATTCTACTGTTGCCTCATTCCTGCAAGTGCCGGTGGCTGTCACTAGAAGACTGAGCTAGCTCCCAGCTGACCAACCTAAGGCTAGAAGCAAAATAACACCTCAGTACTCCCAGAGACGTCATACGATCTTTTCATTTCAGGATCCACTTACAAGTGTCAGCACCATAAATCAGTTCCAATCCTGCCATCTTAGTTCTTTTCTTTCATTTTTTAATGAAACCCTTTCAGATCCTTTCACGCACAGTTGGAAAACACAAATGAAAGCGTTTTTAGGAACTCTAATGACTTTTCAAATAAGAGAAGTTTGAAAAATGTAAGTGTTGTATTAAGATAAAACTTCCCACCTCACATATGTCGTTGTTGTTGTTGTTGTTATGTGCCGTCGAGTCGGGCCCGACTCATAGCGACCCCTCCTTGGGTTTCCAAGGCAGTATCACTACGGAAGTAGATTGCCCCATCTTCCTTCCGAGGAGTGGCTGGTGGGTATATCGCATATAAGGGCCTCAATTTATTTGAAAGGCTAACACACACCTTACCCCACTTGTTTTGTGTGAAAAGATGACACAACACAGGGTACACTGTGACACACTCCCAGTGTATGTCTTCACTAATTACTCTGCAAGTCACTTCAATTTTGGAAAACATCTACCATTTTCCAGTAAGTATTAAATCCCTTAAACAAAACATTCTATACTTGTTTTCTTGCCACACATGGTTTTGGAATTATGAGGTTTCCTTCCTATCTTTGCCCAGTATCTATTGTGCAAAATTAGAAATTACTTGGCCATGTAATCCCACGTGAAGACATGGATGCTTCACTGATGACAAGCAGTGCACTTTTTGACTTAGTGTTTCCCTTTTACACATCAACACTTAATACAGGGCAAGAGAAGGCATAGTTCAGACCCATGTTATTCAATGCTTTCAGGTAGTCCAAGAAAGCAAGCAGAAAGGAGGGCTAGTTTCCAGAAGACCATGCTGTGTTTCCTCCTCAGACTGCACTCACAGCTGAACTTCTGCCTGAGCTTTCTAGTGGGAAGGAGTCTGAGTATCAGCCTATCATTGAAACCAAATGTGGTCATCAACCTTTCACCTTCAACCTAGAACAAATGCAATACAACATCTTAAAGCATGGGGTCACCTCTCTAAACTACCATTCCAATGTCAGAAATCACAAACAGATTTCCATGAAATGGAATTTTTAAAAAAGAGTCATAACAAATCAAGTTTCAGATTGCCAATAAACTAATGCTTCAAACCTCCAAGTGAAGGCTGCCAGCATGAATATACTATTGTGCTGGAGGAGAGAAAAAAAAAATGTGTTTGATGTGCGAGCAAAAGGAGACTTTTGTAAACAAGTGGAGCACAACTTAGACGTGTTCATCATTGTCAAAGCTTTGGCGCAGCCACATACAGAAAGCACATTCCTTCAGAGTCGCGAATTCGCTTGCGCCAAATAAAAATATTATGAATGGATAGATAATAACCGTCCAAAATGCAGAGGTGTAAAACAGAGAAACACCTGCATTTTATAACTACTTAGTCCCCTAGTATGAGCTCTGGTAGCGTAGTACCTAAGGCACTTGACTGCTAATCAGAAGGCTGGCGGTTCAAACTCACCA